TTAGCTGTAAAGGTTTACCTTAGAAGGCAAGTGTTTTTTTCCTTAGTTTCCTCTTCTGATGTCCAGCCCAAGCATGAACAAGTGTGTGTAGCAGGATATAATGACTCACATCTGCTTCGCCTTGGCCTGCAAGTAGGAGGTCTGTGGATAGTGTTGTGAGTCATAACTCCAGCCAGTGAGTTTAAGCTGACCTGAATGTCTTCAGGGCTAAGGTCATGTCAGGATCGCTTCAGCTAAAATCAGGGACAAATTTATACTGTCATTTTCATTGAATAACACCTATTGTAAGCCAGGTGCCTACAGAGTACTGCTGAGGATTATTTAAGTAGTACAGTTGACTTTGAACATGGGTTTGAACTGTGTGGGTCCACTCATAACGTGGATTTTTAAGAAAATAACTGTGAATTCTGGGACTATATGATCCACAGCTGGTTGAATCAGATACAGAACCACAGATATGGAGGAACCATGTGTACAGAGGGCTTAGCCTAAATTTTGTGCAGTTTCAGTTGTGCAAAGGATTGCCGCGCCTGACCCCGTGTTGTCTGAGGGTCAGCGGGGCTCCCCCCCCCCCCCACCCCCCGCGTCTCTGAGAAGCACTCCTGGTGCAGAGCGCAGAGTTCAGTGTGCCAGATGTCATGTGGCGTCCAAGATCTTCCTTCAGATCCTGCAACCTCAAAAAAATACTGCCATCTCCCCAGATTCTGGGGGCTGTGTGAAATAAAGCTGGCAGAGTGTTAGTAACTGCTGAAGCTGGGTTCTTCATACACAGGGGCTTCACTGTACTACTGTCTCTGCTGTTGGGAATGTTTGACACTTTCTCAGTAAGAAGTTGGTTTTGCCTTTCCAAGTGTGGCATATGGCTTCCTTGGAGCACTTTCTCCCTGTGTCACCCCAGGCCGACGTGATGGTGGACAGGGTTCCCCGCTGCCCGGTCTGCTCTGGCGTCACGAAGCCTGACATCGTGTTCTTTGGGGAGCCGCTGCCCAAGAGGTTCCTGCTGCATCTGGCTGACTTCCCCATGGCAGACCTGCTGCTCATCCTTGGGACCTCCTTGGAGGTGTGTCAGCAGGCCTAGTGGTGCACAGATGTGTGGGGAGGCGGCCAGTGAGACAAGGCAGAGGAAGTGAGGGCTGGTGGCAACCCTGGGGCCCTACCTCTAGACTGAGTGGACTCAACATGTGAGGAAGCAGCGGTATTCCAGGCCGAGACAGCAGCAGTCTGCGTGGGAGGACGGGGGGGAAGGAAGGTGTCTAGAGTGTGAGTGGGCACGACACGTGAGGGCGAAGGAGATGTTGGGCAGGAGCAGGCTTCCAAGGTCGCATCTATCAGAGAGACCAATTTTCTGTAGAAGCAGTGGAACCAGGGGTGTATCTGGTCATCCTTGAGATCAGAGAGATCTTGGAACAGGATGAATTGAGCACACGTCCAGGAGGCTGAGCATAGTCAGACTTGGGGACCGTGACAGATGGCAGAGGGGAGGAGGGCTGGACTTAAGAGCCTGGCGTCTCTTCGAGGACTGAAGAGGGAGGTGTCTCTCTCTCTCCTGTGGGAGGTCAGGGCCTTTGCTTAGGAGTCTGGATTGGGGTTGCTGAATTCAGTTCTGCACATGTGTTTGAGGTGCTTGGGAAATGCATCTAGACCTGACGTTCGGGAAGCTTCTAAATGCTGTGATGAGACCCTGAAGGCACTGTGCCTGACTGGATTCAGGTACCACGGGGGCAGACGGGCCAGAAAGACCTGTGCCCAGGCCTCCAACCAGCCAGGGACCCAGAGCTGTGTGTGTTTTCCCCCAGTTTGCCAGGCCCTGTTGTAGTGGGTGCATCGGGAACCCCTCAGTGGTGGTCCCTCTGAGGGATCGGACAGGGAGCAGGAACAGATAGATGAGCTGTCACGTCACTGGTGTGCTGGGAGAAGACAGTGCGTGGATGGGGAGAGCAGGTGAGATGGTGTGGATGAACTTCAGCAGGGAGACCTGCAGGAGCCAGGAGAGGCAGAAGAGAAAGGGGCGTGGATGAGAGGGAGGCTCAGGGGAGGGGGACGCAAGGGTATTTGAGACCAAGCAGCAGGAGCACTACCACAGAATTGAAGCGGGTGCTGGGTTTTCTCCATATCCAAGGTCTCACCTCGGTCACCTCCAGGGCCTCAAGGGCTGTGGCACAAAGGTCCTGAGGGCCTGGGAAACTGAACACCCTGCTCCTCACATTTGGGCAATTTTTCAGGTGGAACCTTTTGCCAGCTTGTCCGATGCCGTGCGGAGCTCAGTTCCCCGACTGCTCATCAACCGGGACTTGGTGGGGTCCTTGGCTAGGAATCCTCGGGGCAGGGACGTGGTCCAGCTGGGGGATGTGGTCCATGGTGTGAAAAGGCTGGTGGAGCTTCTTGGCTGGACGGACGACATCCAGGACCTCATCCAGAGGGAAACTGGAAAGGTATGGCCTGCCGCGCAGTCACAGGAGAGGTCTCTTGTGCTCCAGGGTCTGGTCGACCTGGAGCAGAGCCCTGTTTGGCTAACACTGTAACAGTAATAGGTAATGTTGCTGTTAACTCTGCACCAGGCACTGTCCGGGCCGTCTGTGTGCTTATTAATGGGGTGCTGTGATTCTTGTTCCCTCCATTTAGATATGAAGAAACTGCCACCTTGTGCCTGCTCTGAGTGGCAGATGAGGGTCCAGGCACACGGGGCTGTCGTTCTACAATCACCACACTTCAGCTCTTTGTACCCTAAACTGAAGGAGCACCACACAGCTTCAGGCTAAGATGTGGTTCTCAAGTTCTCTGAACCAGTATGGGATGATGCTTTTAGGACAGTGTGAGAGCCACTGACTTATCCACTGGCGGTAGAAAGCCAGAGCCTTCACTGCTCTAGATGTCAAACCTCCTACAAGTGAAGTTTCCCACAAGAATCAGTTAGCATGTATAGCCTTCATGTGAGGGGTTATTTTCTATAGGGGGCAGCATTAAATGTTTGAAGTCTGTCTCTCAAGAGGGTTGTTTACGATTACAGCCAGGTGTAACACTGCCCAAAGTGGACTTCACCAGAATGCTTATGTTCTTGTCTTGGGAAACCTCCCTACCTTTGGCTGTGCCTGCCTTAGGGATTTAGCACCATGGGTCAGCCCTCTCCTTTCATCTCCACTGGCAAAACCCCCAGCCTCTGGCTATAGGCTATTTTCTTACCAATTTGGACCAAAGTGAGAATATGAGGCTTTTTAAGGCTATGAGAACTTGCAGTTATATTGTTTTCATGGAGTTAGACATCAGTGCCCTTCAATCCAGAGTTTGGCTCTTTGGGATAAGCTAAAGGATGGTGTCATTTCTCAACTCATTGGAGGAAATAAAGACCATCAGGTGTGTCACGTTGCTGTATCACCTAATGGAAGGCCAGCTAACACGATGCTTTCACTTTGCATCTCCAGAGGAAGAGTAGCAGATGTCTCACTCATAGGGGAGTAGAGGTCTTGGTCATATCCACTTGGCAGCTTACACAGGAGCCTTTCTTTACCCAAGGACTGACCTCCTGCTTTCATATAATCACGTCAAGTAGCCACTATGGGCTTTTGGAATTAGTCCTACAGGATTTGACCTTAGCCATTTTCTAGTTCCAGAGAAATTTGTGTAGTGTTACGATTTTAGGGGTTGGTTTATTTTAAAAGAGTTGCCGCCCAAGAGTAAGCACTAAGGGGTGAATGGACATGAAAGTTGGATCAATCTTCCAAATAGTGAATGTTCTTGAGCACGTGAGCCTCAGTATGTCTATATTGGTTACTTAAGCAAAGCCCTTTTAGCCACCCAGTTTTGCCCAGCCCTGCTTGGCATCGTCTTAACTTGGTTGAATAGCATTTGCAGACAGAAAAGCTTCCATTTTATGAAAGTTTGATTCCGGGCCCTCACATGTGCCCAGTGTGTTTTCAGTAACCGATTTCCTCTTTGTGTTCCAGTTTGATGGTTGGGACAGACTGTGAGGGATGCCTCTCACACCAGAGGTTACTTGGGAGTCACTACCCATTTCTGATGAAGACTTCTGCCTGAAGAACAGCTGGGGCATGTTTACAAATTTTGGCTGAACCACAACACGCAACCTGAGGCTGCCCCTGGAGTGTCTTCCTGGGTCGTAAACCCTGTGCAGTCAGGGTCACTCTTCACGGATGTGAAGGTGCTGCCTGGGCTGACTCTGCTGTTTAACTCTTCACTCTGCTAAGGCTCTTAATGTCAAAAGCTTTCTTCTGACGGTGAATCTCTTGAACTCAGACTGCCTAGAACCCCAAGTTGGAGTCCATCTGAAGGGCAGGATCAACATCTGTCCACCTGGGGTGAGCAGCCCAAGCCACCTCCCAGGAGTGGGTCTGGGTCCCAGGTAATGCACTAGAGTCTTCTAGCACCCTGGCCTCTTTAGTAGGCTTATTTTTAGTCTGTCCTTCTTTTCTGGCATGAAATAAATTTTAATATAGGAACTGGGCATCCCTTCATTTTTGTCACCTAAAAGGGACAGGAATGTGGAAACTTGGGGGTGTGGGTGTTTCTCCTCTACTACTGAGGACTGAGAACATTTGTCCCTGAATTCATCCACAGGCCCTCAGAGCACCCAACACACCCTTGTCCCTGATGCCTTTCACATCAACCCCAGAAACTCATCTGTTTCAGACCATTCTAGCAGCCTTCACCCCCTCCCCCCCAACCAGGCCTTCTTCCATTAATGCTGCTTGGATTAACCTCTAAGACAGAAGGCATTGCTCACTTGTTAACAGCCACGCTGCTGTTTGGGCAGAACCTACTGTGATCTTCCTGCTTTGGTATAGGCTCTGTATGGGGCTGCCCCCAGACTCAGCTCCTGCCCCTCAGGGCTCCCTCCTCCTTGGAGTCTTATCTCCCCGTTGGATCCCTGGGCTAGAGCCCCCTGGAGCAGATTTCACTGACAAACTGCTCAGGAGACGTGGTGGCCTAATACATGAGCGGTCGTCCAGGAAAAGTGCTGGATTTTAAGAAAGACATAATTCTACTTCTACTTAACAAGCCTTTACTTGATATTCTGCACAGACATTCACACACACGCATGCGTGCGCACACATTCTTGCCTGGAACTCTATTTCAAAAAGATGTTTTCATGAAGCTCTGTGGTGCACAACCGAAATCTAGACTTACGGTTTCAGGAGAGACATTTTCCTTCATATATTTAATGATCTAAGCCAGCAGGAAGGATTGAGATTATCAGAGCCACTGATAACTTGGGCACTGAGCCAGGACCGAAAATACAAGAGGCTACCAGCTCTGCACTCAGTGGGGACAAAAACAGCAGATCAGAAGTGTGTTTCTGGAATTAGCATATAAGTTCCAGCAGGTTTTTCGCCCTGTGAAATGCGGTACCTGCCCAACACCAGTCTGGGCCAGTGTGCCAGCTGTGCTCGTGCTGTCTGCCTGTTCCCACGCTCAGTCCTACCCTCCCAAACGCATGTACAGTTTTGCCTTCAGTTAAGCCCTGCCCTCAGGCACACACAAAAGAAACCACTTGATTTACAGAAACAAAGACTGGGTTCCCAGAGTTCTAGCAGGATGAGAGCCTCACAGTCCTAGAGAGAAGAAAATGGACCAAAGGCAAATCATGAATAGAACTTTGGAAGTAAAGAGAAAGGGACCTCCAAGCTGGAGGGAGGGGCGTAGCTTCCCCACGTCCTGGCCCCAAGGACACCTCTGGAAGCAGCACCGGTTCTGAAGGGGAGCAGAAGAGCGGCCATTTTCAGTCAGGGTCCGAGTCAGGGTCCGAGGAAAGTTGCCCCTCCATGGTCTCACACATGGCATCCTGCAGGGATGTGAGCTGACCCCGGGGACTCATCCCCATGGGCTGGATGACCCTGTGCCTGCGGGAAGAAGGCATGGTAGGGGATGGGAAAGGGGCCTGGCAGGTGGAGCAGGGGTCCTGCTCACCCCCTCGCTGTGACCTGCTGCTCCACCAAGCTGCTCCTGTTTACTGGGGAAACTTGGATGGGAACTGTCTCAGTCAGGCCTAAATCCTAACTGCTACCTAAACTTTGAGACGTTAAGCAGTCTCTTACTGTCTCTGGGCCTCAGTTTTCATCAGTTGAAAAATGGACATAATACTTACCTCAGCCCTAGCCTTTTGCTAGAGAACTTTCTCCAAGACAGAGGATTTCCAACATTAGTAATGCAGTCTTGCCAGAACCTAAATCCCACTCTGATCCCACCTCCTTGGCTTGCACGACGGGGCATGGGTCGTCCTCCTCTGTCCCAGCTCTGGGCCCTCCTTGCCATGCCACGTACCTGGAAAGCTTGTCAAACATGTTCACCAGCTTCATGGCCTCATGCTCCTTCTGCTCCTCTGTCATGCCTTCCATGGGGTTGGGTGGCTTTTCCTCTACCCTTCCAGTTACTGGGTTTATGCTGTTTCATGAAAGAGAGGTGTGGGGAATGCATTAGTGACTCCAGGACGGGAGGGCTGCGTGTGGTGGGTGAAGTTCCCATCTTCCTGCCTGGGCCTGGAATGGCAAGAAATTCACTCTCTTGGGTGCAGGGAAGGCAAGGCAACTGCAGAAGGACTCCCTCCAGGAGCAGCAGGTAATCAGCGCCTGCTACCTGGCCTACCTGTCCCCCACATTGGTCAGATCCTTCAGCCTGTGTTCTCAATGGAACGCCGTGGTGTCAGAATACGTGTCCCTTAGAACAGAGGCCTGATTCTGTAAGGTTTACCCATCTGTCACCCTTATCCCATCCACCCTGCAGGTTCATACGGGTGTGGTAAAAGGGATGGGGGGGTTGAGTAAGAGTCTCAGCACACACCTGGCCTTGGCTTCCTTGTACTCGTCCGTGTCTGTGTCCTCGTCCTCTGAGTACTGGCCCTCAGGCCGGCCCCCTGCCATGAGGCCCCTAGCAGCCAGGAGGCCGGCGGCATTTCCATAGCCTGTGTACTTGATGAAGCGGGGCACTGAAGGGCAGGGCAGAAGTCAGTGTGGAAACGTGACCGGGGAGGGGCAGGCGGGGCAGGCCCCCACTCACCACTCACCACTCTCAGAGCACAGCACAAACAGGAACTCGGCCGCCACCCTCTTCACGTCAGTGTCCAGGTGCGTCATGAGGCGAACCAGTTTGTTCCGTAACAGCTCCCCCACCTCAGGCCGGGTCCTCACGTCCCGCAGCGGGGGCAGCACCTGAGGGGGCAGCTGTTTCTCAGCCTGGGCCTGGAAGGACCAGGGTCTCCAACCAGAGCCCGGCCATAGCCCGTCTGCCCCATACCTGGGCCTTCAGGAACTTCCTGGCGGGGCGGTGCATGCGGGCACACTCTGTCAGCACGCTCAGCACGGGGGCCACGCTTTCCTTCAGCCTGTGTGTCTGCAGAGGAGCCTCGGTCACGGACTGGGCCCCCCTTACTCAAGGCCAGGGGGCCAGGCACCTGCCCCAGATGATCCTGGCAGGAGGCGCTCAGGAAGTGGCCCCAGCTGAGGGACCAAGAGCGAGCCATGGGTGTCTCTATGAGCTTCAAAAAGAACAGGCACAGACCCTAACTCAGAAGGCCATTCGTATGTTGGGACAAATCATTTAACTACTTTCCCCACCTTTAAAGGAGAGGGGGCGGAAAACTGTGTTTAAAGTCGTTAGCACCAACAGCACACAAGACAGCTCACAAAGTGCTGAACCTTAAGTCCGTCACAGTCTAGCCTGCACGATGCCTGCAAACTCCCAGAGAAGCTGGTTAGAGTGCCAGCCAGTCAGTGTCCCGTGGTGCAGCTGCAGGAATCAGGGAGCCGCCAGCTCTTAAGGTCCTGTGGGTCCTCTTGAGGGAAGCCAAGGCACAGCTGATGCTCATCTCTGAGGGCTGCTCATGCACAGTGACATTCTGAGTCTAGGGTCACAAGGAAGGATGGGGAGCGTGGTGGCACTTTAAGGGGGTAGGGATGGGGGGCTTCTCAGGACCCCTCAAGAGAATTCACAAAGAGATCTAAAAAATGAGTACTTTGCCAGATTCTGAAAAGTTGTTTCCACATACTTCTCAGGGAGGAAGGTCTGGCTTGACCATGAAGTTGGAGGCATTGCCTGAATCACACTGGGGAGTTGATCTCCCCTCACCAGTGTGGACAGCAAAAACACAGTGACCACAGTAGCTTGGAAAACCTGGGCCAGAGCCACAGTAGTCCCCCTGCCCACCTGATGAAGACGCTTCTCCATGAAGCTGAGGAGGACACGAATCACATCCATGTTCACTCCTAGGAACTCCAAGGAACCTTCGTGTGGCTCCAGAGTGAGAAGAACATCCAGACACTTGAGAGGCAAGTTCCCCAGGAGGTTCACTGCGTGGCTGGGGACAGATGAAAGGGGCACTTGGTAAATACAACCCCCTGCTGCCACCTGCTGGGGCCATAAATGCCATGAACCAGTATCTGGGGGCCCAAGCAGCAGAACCAGGTACCAGAGCTAAGGGTACTACTTCCTGCAAATGCCCAGCCTATCACATACCTAGGTTGAGGCAAGACAGCTAAAACTGAGAACCTGCCTAGGCATAGGCCACCAAGAATGAAAGTGAAGAAGCATACTACCCTATCAATACCACAGTGTCCGCCGCCCCTAACCAAGGCCCCCTGGCACCTTCCTGCCTTGGACTCACAGCTCCGATCTTAGACTGTTAAATGCTGGAGCTCCCCAGAAACACACTTTTGTCTGGTCCCACCCAGATGGATGAAGACTCTCTAAGACTGGGAACCACCACAGAGACCTGTGAGCAGACCACCCCCATTCCTCCCCACCACCCCGCATGATAGGCACCCCACTCACCCATGGAACTCCTCTGTGTGGTCTCCAGCAGCAGTAACCATCACACAGTGCCGCAGAAGGGTCCCCAAGTGCCGATATAGGGCAGTGTCTTCCTGACCAAACAGACATGAGTTCCTGTGAGAGAGAGCCCCACTGGCCCCCACTGCTGCCAACTGAGATTCTACCTTCTGGACGCCCCTGCAAAACCACATGCATTAACGATGCTTCTCTACTGTACACCCTGGTGCTTGTCCTCTCCCACAAGACCTCAAGAGAACTCTCTTGGTTAAGAATATCAATGGATCCCCTTGGGACACAGCTGCTCTATGCTTTAGCCCCACACTCAGTCTCACCGTGAAGAATCTCATAGCCTCCCCTGCACACCACACAGCCCTCCAGCCAGGCTGTAAGAGCCAGTTATGCTCTCCAACTGAGAAAACTTCTGAGACCCTTCCAAGATGGGTGCTCCCTGCTTCTCTTGACTGGCTAAGCATGCCTAATCCAGAAATTTGAAGGAAAAAGGAAAGGAAAGTCACTCAGTCGTGTCCAACTCTTTGCGACTCCTGGGCTGGAGCCCACCAGGCTCCTCCATCCATGGAATTTTCCTAGCAAGAGTACTGGAGTGGGTTGCCATTTCCTTCTCCAGAGGATCTTCCCAACCCAGGGATCGAACCCAGGTCTCCCGCACTGCAGGCAGACGCTTTACCGTCTGAGCCAACCCAGCAAAGAAGCACGTGCAGGAAAGGTCCAAGTTGTTAAACTCCACCCAAAGGTTGAGGTCAGCCCTCACCTCATCCACCTCCCTCTTGATGGAGTCGAAGGTGATGTTAAAGAGCACTTTGAGGATTTCCATGGCTCGCTCAGTCTCCTGGGGAGGCAGGAGCTCAGGGCGCCTCTCGCCCTCAGTCATTCCCAACGTCAGCTCCAGCGCCCTGGTCAGCAGGCGCACTCCCTGCAGCTCCTGAAACAGCTGCTGGCGCACGTCGGTGCGGAGTGCAGTTAGCAAGAAGAGCAGACGCAAATCAAAGAACTGGACGTCGTGCGGGAAGCTGCTCTGGCGGTACAGTCCTACGCGCTCTGCAAGCCTCACCACTAGCCCCGCCTCTGCTGCCAGCACCTGTGCCACGGGGCTGCTTAACACGAGATTGCACAGGCACTTAAGGGACTCAAGTACAACATCCATGTTCAGCGGCTCAGGGACCGACCCCTGGGAGGCGGAGATGCCAGCATAGCAGGCAAGAGCCTGCAGACTCCGGCGACTGGTGAAGGAGTCCAGGCAGCTGCGGTCCCTGGACAGGATGCGGATGCTCTGCAGCCAGATGACGCGGCGGGAGGGTGGCAGGCCCTGCTCCAGGACTGAGACAAGCAGCTTCGCCAGTCTCTGTGGGCAGGGAGAAGAGCCGTTCCACCAGGTCTTTCTACCTGGGCCACCCAATCATGCCCCTCTACCTCAGTGAGCACCCACCTTCCTATCCTCCTGTTGCGCATCATCAAACGTGAAACTCTGGGAGTTCTGCAAAGAAACCCAGAGGCTCAGAAGGCACAGGCCCACCGCGGCAGAACCCGGGTTCCGCGGATGGGGGCCTGAGGCCGAACCCTAACCCTCTATGAACAAACGGCGCCCCAGCCCCACACACCAGCACCCTAGCAACTCCTCAAAGAGTCGGTGCTCCTCCCGATCGCTCTCCCTTCCACCCTCAGCCCCTTGCCACGCTCATCACTCTCGCCGCCTCTCCTGCCGGCCACGCGCGCGGGCCCCACCCTGCCCCACCTCCTCTCTGCACGTCCCAAATCTACAACTCCCGCTCACCTCCCGGTTGTACGCGCGCAAAGCCTCCATAACTACGTCCTCCTCCCCCGTCTCCACGGCATCCGCAACTGCCCGGGGCTCCATGGCACCTCCAGGACCCGATGGCAGGACAGCCACAGGCTCCTGGCTTCGCGATTCCGGGCCAGCGTCTGCTCGCCCCTCCCAGGCTCGGCGCGCGGGGGAGGCCGGGACGGGGCGTGCGCCGCGCCGAGGGGCGGGGCCTGGGCTGTGCGCAGGGGAGGCCGGGACGGGGCTTTCGCGGAGCCACAGGTTGTGTCAAGGGCTGAGCGCGGGGGAAGCCGGGACTGGGCGGGCGCCAAGCTCTATGGGCTGTGCGGCGCCTTAAAGGGGCGAGGCCTGGAACAGCTGGATAGAACTTAAGGCTTTGCTGCCGAGTCAGCTTTGGCCTTAAGCTCTGGGTCGGTGATCGTCCGACCTATGGGCCGGAACCGCCCTGAACCCAGCGGTGAGCCTTACTCCTTGGGCCAGGATTCCTGACCGGAGAGGGCCTCAGCCCCGCACTCCTCCATCACACGCACACCAACACCGCTCTTGATGCACAGAAAGAATGAAATATCCAAGGAAAAGTCGAGGTGGAAAGGACTTTACAACCTCCGGACCACGTGGTTTCTAAACAGACGTTTGAGTGCCTACTGCATGCGAGGAGCCGGGAGGCGGGTGAATAGAACCCACAGGTCCCTGCCTTCTTGGCGCTTATGTGCCAGATGTGAAGACTAAAACGGGCAAAGACGACGTTAGGCAGCTATCGTGCTGTGATTGAATAAGAAAAGGGCCTTGATGGGCTGCAAGAAGATCTGAAGAAGTGCCATTTTTGCTGAGACCGGAGCCTAAGGAGTGAGCCAGGAAAGGCTCTGAAGGAAGGTTATGCAAGGCAGGAGTGGCCAGTGCAAGGGTGGGAATGGCCGTGGTGGGAGAGAGAAACATCATTGTTGGGGCTGAGAGAAAAGGGAGACTGGGGAGGAGAGGTCAGGATGAAGACAGAGTCTGATTGTGTGCGGTGACTTTCTTGCTGTGTAAACAGGCACACCTGCTGGTCTGCTCGGACCGTTTCCTTTTTCGAAAAGCGGAGATAATAGTTCCCATTTCAGTGGATTGTCAGGAGTAAATGACACAGAGCAATTGCTCCATTACGATGGGTGGGTAACTTAAAATTCATCCACCGGGCAAGAAGGCTTTGTTGAGCATCTACTTTGTGTCAGGCCCCTTGTCAGCACCGCGTGGAAAGTCAAAAAGCACTGGCTCCTACCGTACCCACTTCCCTCACGTTCCCACCCCTCTTCCTGCTTTGTTTTCTTTGGAGGGCTTCACTCCTGCAACTTCTGCACCGCTCTCTCGTTCCAGGCACTGATCTCCAGTCTGTCCTGCCGGCAGTACCTGGAACCGGGCTTCCCACCGAGTTCGCTCCTTAGCTGAACCGCAGCCGGGCGGGCCGGGCCTCAACCCCGGCGGGGTCACGGCGAGGAGCCTCTTTGACCTGGGAAAGGCCCGTGTGCTCTTCCCAGTTAGGACGCCGACACCGCCTTAGGCGGGAATGGCTGCTGCAGTGTCTGTCCGCGCCATAGTTGCCTCTAAAAACACAAACCATCCAGGGGTCCCGAGAGCAAACGCCAGCCCCATCCCCAAGTCGAATGAAGGAAGAAACGTCATATCCTTCCAGTTCTCACCGCCCAGTCTCTGTTGGCTAGATCTCGGCCGGAAGTGGGGGCCTGAGGCGGAAGGGGTGGAGCCGGGAGCCACTTCCGGCGACTGCGCCACGTCCAAGGAGGCTGTAGGCGAGCGGTGACAGACCGCGGGGTCGGAGCTGGAGGCGATGGTGGACTGGGCTCGGGGTGAGCGCGGAAGGGCGGAGGCGGATGGCTACATAGCTCGACGGGGCCGACTTCGCTGCCCTTTGGAACCGCCTTCGCCTTTCTCCGCGCCACTAGGTGGCGTCGTTGGGAAGACCCTATGGGCGGGCGTAGTTTGGGCAGGGCGGCCAGGGTGCAGCCCGCCGCGCTGTGGATGAGTCCCTGGGTCCCTGTGGGCGCTCCTGCCCAGCTGGTGCTTGATACTGCTGGGTCCGGATGCCCGCAGTCCCCACCCGTTCCGTCCTTGCGAGATGGCTCTGCACGGGACCTCGGCCGGGTCTCCTGGTTCTTCGGGTCCCGGAGGCTAGGAGCCTCCTCGGAGTAGGAGCTGCGCGTGATAGGAGGGCCCAAGCATGCCTAGTACTCACTGGGGTCGGGGTACCCCACTTGCCCTCTGGGAGTCTCTCTTTTCACCTGCCAAGTGGGATGCTGATGCTTGTTTCGCTGGGCTGTTGTGACTTTTAAGGAATTAATGTTACAATCGGTTGGTAGGACCCTAACACCTCTTATTTGGGGTTTGTAAACCTCCATGGTTCCTAGGGCTGTGCCCCTTTTTGATGAGTCTCCTTGAGGCATCTGGCCCGAGGCAAATATGCACCCCGAACTTTGTGGGAAACAGTTCTCACCAGCCTGATAAGATGGTAATTCTGAATCACCAGGCCCAGCGCCTGTCACAGGCCAGGTCTCAGCAGGTACCAGGCTTTGGGTGACACACAAGACCCTGTGTGGGACCAGTCTCAAGCCCTGTTAGTAAGTCTTTCGAAAGTCTTTACCAGAGCTCATTGGGGTTTTCTTTGAGAACAGGTTCTGTGTATGTTGCTAGTGACATCTGCGGAGGGATGGTAAAAGTTTTGTCACAGAATGTCAGAAAGTACTGGTTGAACTGAGCCCTTTGGAGGTGTCCGCCCACCCATCCCAGCCTGGATACATGCACAGGACCTGTGTTCACACACACTGTTGTTTATACAGTCTTATCTCATGTGTGAAGTGTTGGATCCTGGGTGAGGGTAGGACCTGCTCAGCAGACACAGGAAGGCCCAGTTCCCTTAGACACCTGACTGGGCCAGATGGGATTGGAGTCAGAGTCTGGAAGCCATAAAGGGCTGAGGTACAGGGGTAAAGGGGATGTTCATGGGTGGATTTATGCCCTCAGCCTCTCTCTCTCCTCACAGCTCAGAGCCCTGGTGCTGTGGAAGAGATTCTAGACCGAGAGAACAAGCGGATGGCTGACAGCTTGGCCTCCAAGGTCACCAGGCTCAAATCGGTCAGTGGTGGTCCTCTCCTTTTGCCTCCAACTGGCACCCTGGAGGGGGGATCAGAGGGCGGTAAAGACCTGGATGGGTTTCAGGTAGTTCCATTCTCTTTGTCCCATCCATGGCACACTCATCTGTGTGAGGCCTAGGTGGCATTTGGATCTCCTGATCTCTGTTGATCTTGTTGGGGTTCAGGTGCTGTTCATATGTTTGTCCTGGTCTGACCCTACCCCCTCTGTGTCCTGACCAGCTGGCTCTGGACATTGATAGGGATGCGGAGGACCAGAACCGGTACCTGGACGGCATGGTAAGGGTCTGCGGTTTGCAAGTGTCACTGTCAGCTCAGCTCCCCACCACCTGCTTTGTGGCCCCCCATCTGTGTATGTTTGTTGTGGAGTCCCTGTCCCTTTGTGACAATGTTGGAATTTCTCCCCCAGGACTCAGATTTCACAAGTATGACGGGCCTACTCACAGGGAGTGTGAAGCGGTTTTCCACAATGGCGCGATCTGGGCGAGACAACCGGAAGCTTCTTTGTGGTATGGCTGTGGGCCTGATCGTGGCCTTCTTCATCCTCTCCTACCTCCTGTCAAGGGCAAGGACGTGAGCCAGTGGGAGCTGGCTTCAGTGGGTGCCTGGGGCAACCAGGATCTTCCTCTGTCTGGTGTTTTGGGCTCCAGAGAACTTGTTTACAAAATACTCCTTTGAAATGATGATCATGGCTTAGGAATCTTCTTCCTGCGTGGTTGGGAGCCTCTAACCCAGTGAGCTCATGTTAGCTGGTTCTATGTGTGCAAGGGCCCTATCCCTATGGGGTAGCCAAGGCCCAGCTCCCTCTGCCACCTTGGGCTCTAGAAGCCCCAGCATTGTTGAGTCCAAGCAGAGCATCTGGGAATCCTGGACATGGCCACCTGTGAGCAGCAGTCCTTTCCTCGGCCCTCAAGGTTCTGAGCATCTCAAGGCTCCTCTACGCTGTCTTGGTCTGGATGAGGCTGTGTCTGATATTTGAGTTGCTTGGAGCTGACACAGGAAGGGGGTGTGGCTGTGAAGCTCAAATCATTGCTGTCACCTCCAACTGAGTGTCCTTCAGCCTGGAGATTGCAGTTTCTCTGGCCAGGGCTGCTGGTCATCCGTGACCCAGTGAGATTCAAAGGTCCTGCTGAACGGCCTCTTCCTGCCCTCCAATCCCACGACTGAAACCAGACCCTCAGGGATGGGCAGGGGGTTGTGGATGGAGGAAGGATCTGCAGCCTTGGCTGAAGACTTGGGGTCCAGATCCCGGCAATTTCCCAGCCATGTATCTAGGAGCAGAAGCTAATGTTTTCATGGGATTCAGGATCTACCCAGCACCAGAGATCTGTTTCCAGGAGGCTAGATCTCCAGAAACAGGTCCATCTGATGCTTAAGTCAGGCAAGGTGTGAAGCGGGGCTTTTATGGGTGTAGGCAGGAGGTTTCTGGATAATGCCTTTTTTTAGGACCTATAGGTCACTTTTTGAGGGTTCGTGGGCAGTTTCCACTAAGCTAACCCTAACGCAGCAGTGTCTGCCCACCTCTCCGTGGGCCCTCAGTGTCCACTTGGTCAGTCCCCTGCTCATATGAACTGAACTAACAGGCCCAGCCAAACCAATGGCTTCTTTGTACCTCACTGTGAGTCCCCAGTATCCTTGTCTTTCCATAAAAAACACTTGTAAGAAACAAGTCATTGGCTCTGTGTCTTTCCTGGTTCCTGTTCCCATCTTCTTCTTAGTTACGCACCTTACTCTCTGAGGGCTATTGGCTCACTGTCCAGCTGCCCGCACACTCATGCCATGTGTGGTGTATCAGCTCCTCTCGCCCACCTTGTTCTCTTCTCTGGCCATGTGGACCTCGCCTTCTGGCTCTACCACTCCTGCTCCTTTTCCTCTTGCTCTCCCTTGTTCTCTGCCTAGCAGGTCTGGCCTCTCCTGACACTTGCCACGGAGCCCTTTTCTCCACTGCAGTTGGCTGGGCCCTTGGCTTCTTGAGTGGTCTGCTTGACTGTCCCTCCCTCCAGTATGTGCTTCTCAGCCAGTAAGGTTGGCTCACTTGCCTCTGTGTCCCTGGGGCTTGGGTGTTTCTCTGTCCTCCTTGACATTCCTTCACAGGCTCCTGTGGTCATGCCTTGATCCCCATTCTTCTGTATACCACAGCTTCGGCTTCGCTCTCTGCCTGTCTCACAGTGAACCTAGTCATAGGGACATGTCCACTGGTCACCATGCTCAAAGCTGCTACTCATATATATCTGGTCACTGCAGGAGCAGCAGATACCCCCAGACCTGAACTCTGTGTCCCCTGCCTTTTCTGGGTCTGCTAACCTTGCTTTCTGAGAAAGTGGCTCAGCCAGGGCAGCCTTCCCCGCACTGGCCTGCTCCAAAGCAGACCAGGAATTTGGAGTTCGTGTTTCAGGGTGGTCTTTTCTGAGGAAAGTGAAAGTTGCTCAGTCGTGTCTGACTCTTTGTGACTCCATGTACTGTAGTTCATGGAATTCTCCAAACAAGAATACTGGAATGGGTAGCCTTTCCCTTCTCCAGGGAATCTTCCCATCCCAGGGAAAGAACCCAGGACTCCTGCGTTGCAGGCAGATTCCTTACCAACTGAGCTGTCAGTGAAGTCCCTTCTGTGAGGAGGACTTCGCCATCTCTGAGACCTTCACTTGCTGTGTATTTTCCCTCAGGTTGCCCCCTGTGCCTCTCTGCTTCTCCATCTCTATGACTCTTTGTAGCCTTTCCAGCTCTTTGGGGGTTTGGGTATTTGTTTCTCATTGTGTTAGATGAATTCCTGAAGTGGGCATGGAGCTCTGCTGTGCTGTCAGCAGGGTTTCCTGTGGGCCTTCACCCTCCTCCTCCTCAGCCCTGTACACTGAGCACCTAATCCCGTGGATAAGTGGGGTTTGCCGACAGTGATCTCTGAGACTATGAAACAGAGACGGACTTGAGGACTTTCGGTGTCAGGTGTGGACAAACAGCCAGGTTCTATCCCTTAAGTCAAAGACGAGGCATTTAGCAATAAAAACTTGAAATAAACAGTATTGTGATAAAGTAAACATGGCCTTTGGTGTTTTCATTTCCGAGGGGGCTTCAGAAAGTTTCGTCTGGAACTGACCCTGGTCCACAAACTGTCCACAGGCACTGGTGGTCTTGACTCTGATGCTATTTTTCTGGGCCCTGCTCTGCTCCTCACTCATCCCCCTGGGCAGGCAGATGTGGGGTTGACAATTCCCGCTCCTGGACCTTTCTTTTCCCAGGTTTCTGTGACTGTGATGGGAAGATGATAGCATTACTGCTTCAGGTTTAAGGGAATATATGTGAGTACTTAGAACAAGTAGCCTGACATGGTCACAGCTCAGTGAGGGTCAGCAGTTGTCATGTGCTTTGTAAGCTGCAGACACAGGTGCAACAGGGCTACCTGCTCAGAGCTGGGGTGAAGATTAGATTCATTCCTCAAGGCTGGCCTTGGACTCCAGGGTACCCTCTTGAAACACCCCTCTTAATCCCAGCTCAGACACCCGCTTCCCTGTCCACATCCTCCTATGCTTCCTGTGTTTGGTGTATAACAGATCACCTTCAGGTGTAGTCGCAGTGGTTTATGTCTCATGGGGACTATTTGTGTTTGAGACAGAGATGGTTCTCTCTGCTCTAGGATGTTACAGCCTTTTGGAGACACAGGCTGGCACTACCACCCCCTGAAAGCTCAACACAAATCTGCAGGTGGTCGCAGATGTGAGCTGAGGGCCCAACTAGCTTCACTGCCTTGCTGTGTGTTGAGCTTACAACATGGTGGCTGATGGGAGGATGAGCAAAGAGAAGGAGGGTGTCCAGGCAGAAACCCTTTGTATATTGTGTGGCCTGGCTTCAGAAGTCAAGTAACAACAGCATGATTATTTAGGATGGTCACAGGGTCTGTTCTAGATTCCAGGGGAGGGGCACAGACTCCATATCTCAGCAGGGAAGAGTCAGTCTCACAGGGACAAACTGGAGGATACAACAGAATGTGGAGGGCAGGGATGGAGGCGGAATGAGGCCTTCTCTCAGCTCAGACCCCAGGCCCTGGAACCCGACATGGGATGGCATGATCGCCTATGGGGGCCTCTTTCTGGAAAAGCTGGATCCTCTCCCACAAGAGACCATTGCTAGTAGAATCCATGATTTTATTATATATCTGGGCACAGCAAGAAACAAGGTTAGCAAATGGGAATGCATAGAAAAAAATAACTGATCGCAATTGTCCAAACAAGCATGCTCTGCCCTCCAGGGCCAGGCTGGCTGCAGCCCAGCCGGAGGAGGAGGCGCCCATAGCCCTCAACTCGGGGAGTCTGTTAGTGGGGGTATGTGACATGCAGAGGCTTCCAGCGATGGCGGGGGCAGGGCCGGGCTATTCCACATCCACAACCAGGGGTGTCATGTAGTCAGAGTGTTTGATGCCAAAGGAGACGACAGGGGCGCAGGGCTTGGTCATCGTCACCTGGGGGAGGAGAGGCTGTGAGGAGCCGGCACTGCTGCCCCCACCCTGCAGGCTCTGCCTCACGGGCCGGGGCTTCTGACGGCGGTTTTGCTGTACCCCCGAAGCCCTGGGCCAAGGTGACCAGCAGGAAGTCCACTCTGCCAGGCTTGACTGCAGAGCCTGGGTGTGGTGAGTGCTCGGCAGCACTCACCATCCTGTGTCTGGGGGTCTGGGAACATAAAGCCCACCGGCGGGGGAGAGGGCTGGTGGTGGAATGCGTGTCCTGAGGTTACCCGCTGCCATGACCCTTGCAGGCCCTTCCCTGCAGCACACCCTGGGCCATGTCACCCCTCCTGCCCCCACCCCACCCATCTGGGCCGCGCTCTTGCCAGACCTTCTCAGGGCTGTGGGCTCCTGGTCCTGGCTTTAGGGTCTTGTCCCCTGGGGGCTCCACCCGGGCAGCCATGGTATACTGTGGAGCCTTGAACTTAGTCACCTGGACATCAGTCTGGCGGTAGGCCGCGGGACCTGGGGTCTGCAGGGTGAAAGAGGCTCAGACAGGCTCGGCCTGCCAGAGTGCGGGGCCTCCAAGGGCTGGCATCAGACAGTGTGTTTCAGGCCCCAAATCACTGTGTGTCTGTGTGTCGGGGGCCTCTTCTGTCTCCAAACAATGGCCATACCATGGGACAACACTCCAGTGCTGTGGACCCTTCTCTGTGTGGATGTCATCTTCTCTTCAGCCTCACCGTGGCAATGACACCCCAGTCTGTGCCAGCCCCAGATTTTCCCTTCCATGAGTGTGTGTGAAAGAGGCCCCTTTCCAACTAGGGACTCAAGGGCCACGGGCTGGGCTGGTGAGATTGGCAGTGCTGTGATGCCAGCCTTGCCAGGCTCCCAGGCACACAAGCATCTCAGTGCCTTTGCATTGGCTATTTCTGAAGCCAGAGCCCTCCTCCCCCAAATACATCACAACCCCTTTTTCTCCTCTGCTCAGCGTCTTCCTGCATGCTGCGCTGTCTCAGACTCTCCTTGCTTCTCAGGCAGCACCCACACACCTGTCGCTTTCATCACTCCTCAGCACTGTCAGCCTCCTGGCCTAGTCTTAACCTCTTTCATCCTTGTCCACCGTCTGCCCCTCCTCACCTCTGGAATGTAGCCCAGTGAGGGTGGGGCCAGATAGGTGGCAGGCTCCCAGAGGAGGAAGAGCTTCGGAGCTTCGGGAGGATGGGGGGTCAGGCTGGTAGGCCCTGGAGTCTGGGGGAAGGGACCAGATGGGCCATCTCTCTAGGGGGTAAGCAGTGCTGTGCCCCAGCCAGGTGACCCTTGCCTTGTGCAGGTCGTCGCTGAAGCTTCCCAGCTTGCTGCGGCCCTTGATGGAGAAGGAGGGCTGGGAGGCCTTGCCAACCGTGTGGGGGCCCATCACCATGGGCAGCATGTAGGCTGCGGGGCCTGCAGGTGCACCAGTATCGAGTCTCAGGCTGGACAGAGTCCTGTGCCCAAGTCTCCACTGGCTTCTTCCCTGGGCTCTCCACCTCCAGGAGACCAGCTATCAGGGTGGGCCCCCTCACCCACCCTACGCAGGGTCCCCAACCCAGTCAGCTATGGGTCATTGAGACTGCTGCAGACCTGGGGTGCTGTCTACTCGGAAGGTCTTGGTTCGGGCAGAAATGGAGTGGCTGGGCGCCGAGTCGAACACATGCTTGGTAGATTTCTCTGGAAAGTAGTCGCCTGGGATGGGTTGGGGGGAAGAACGTGGGTACTGGAGGGTAAGAATGATCCTACAGATCAAAACAGATGCCTAGCCCTGGTCAACTCAAGGAGGACCCCCACCGTGGCAGGTGTGGGGCCTCTGGGCCCCAGTGAGAGGCAACCGTGGTTTTGCAAGGGGTATCCGGGATGAAAACTCTGGTTGCAGGAGTTAGAGAGACAGGGGCCTGGAGAGCGAGTCTGATGTGGGCCTGGTGCGGTGACTCAATCAGACAAGGAAGGCCCTCAATCAGAGTTGGACACCAGAGTCTCAGAGGCTGCACTGGGCCCCAGCTCCCCACCAGGCCCGACGTTGCACCGTTGTGAGGAGAAGGTGGGTTGGGAGGGTGAGGATGGCTGCACCCTTCACATGCTCATGCCCCTAGGTTTGCAGAGGCTTGGGCAGGGCTGGGGCTGAGCCAGGGGCCCTCACCGGGGCCAGGGGTCAGTGTGGTCTTTGTGTGGTAGCGCCCCAAGATGGAGTAGGCGGGGCCAAGATCCTTGCCAGTCCTCAGTATCTTGGGGTTCACACTGTAGCGGGGCCCTGGGGAGCAGTTCTCTGCCAGGAGCATGGGAGCCCCGCGGAAGCTGTAGGCCGGTGCACGCAGCTTGGTGGGCGTGTGCTTCACAAAGCCTGTGGGGCAGGGATTCTGAGCGGCCTGGAACTAGGCCCTGCCCTTCCCCCCAACCCCCCATTGACCCTAGAGGAGTTGATGGTCTGGGAGTAAGAGATGAGCCCAGGCCCACCCCAGGCCCACCCCAGACCTGGCTTCTGCTTCCCCTGCTCCGCCCTCCCAGAGTCCCAAGGGCTTACCCGTGGTGGGTGGAATCAGGTACTTGGGTCCAGGGCTGCTGTAGAGGGCCATGATGGGCCCTCGGGGACGATGGGGCCTCCAGGTGCCCACCCATACCTCCTCCGCCATGACTGGTTCTGTCCATGGATGGGAGGGTGACCGAGTGCTGGAAGGCCTGGGCCCTCCCCCCCGCATCACTGCTCTTGCCCGCACCGATGGGCAGAACTGCAGGCACTGCGCCTCCTCAGTGGGGTGTCGACTTGGGGCCCAGACCAAGGATCATTGGGAGCCTCTGCTTAGAGCAGTGGGTTGGCTCTGCTGCACCCACCCCCAAGAGGAGGAGCATCAGAGCCTCACGGACAAGCCCATGAAGCTGTCTTAGTGCTTGTGGACGTGCCCACAGTGGCTATGAGGGGGTCTGGGCAGGTTCCTTGTGCTCAGAGGACTCTGAATGTGACAGGGTAAGGAGCAGTGGACAAAGATGGGGAACTTCTTGCATGAGCCTGTGCCCTGGAGTGGGGAGGGGGCCGCTCAGGAGGGGCCCTCACCTCTTTGGTCTGGGAGCAGCACTCAGAGTGACCTATGGACTGAGCCTTCTCAGAGGTGGTCCCGTCACACCAGCCTTGGTGCCAGGGTGTTCCAGAAAAGGAGTATGGAGAGGAAGGCCTCTCCTCTCCCCTTGGGGGCGTTAAGAATTGGGGAGGTGTCCCCGCTTCTGAGCTCTAGAATGTGGCTCTGTGGGATGGTGGATTCTAGATCACTGTGTATGTGATGGAGACAATGGCCTCAGCCCACGGGACCTCCACCCATGGGACCTCCACCCACACCATGCCTGGCTCAGGACCGAGACTTTGCTTTGCTCCTCTTTGCAGGGATCAGGGTAGAGTGCAGAGGACAGGCAGGGACTGCTAGGGCTGGGACCAGCACAGTGAGGCAAGGAGTAAGGTTGTTAGGGGCAGAGCTGAACCTGCTCAATCCTGCCCCCAGTTGAGACTACTGAGCTGGGGAAACTGAGGCACAGGAAGGCTGCTGGGGGTCCAGGGACCCAGGAAAGGGCAGGCCTGCCCTGGTTTGGGGGCAGGGGTTGGTGTGGGGAGCTGCTGAGGGGCCTTCCTCTGACACTGCCCTCCTCCCACCATGCGGCCTGCGCCCACCGTTGGATCCTGAGTGTCCTCACTAGCAGAATCCTACTGGGGCTCCAGCTGGGGCTTTGTGTCTTTCCTTGAGGGACTTCTCAACCCCTGGACCCATGTCACATGTACATTGTGCACATTTATTGTCTCAGAATGATAACCTTCAGATGTAGAGCCCCCCCACCCGGCCTGTACCCTCAGCCCTGGCGTTGAGGCAGCCTGTACCCACTGCCTCTCTCTGGGGCTCTCTGCTGCTCCTTGCTCTGAGCCCCTGCCCCTGCCTCTGCCTCTGCCTCTGCCTCTACCTCTGCAGACCTTTTTGTGTCCAATGCCTCCCTACATCTACATGTCTGCCTACACAATGGCTTGCTTTGTCTTCTTCCTTACAAGGGTGTCTGCCTGGATTTTTGTTGGTGGGTCTGCCCTCTATGTGGAGTTACTTACACATGTGTGCTCCACTCACATGACCCTGTGTATGGGAGTCTGTAGTGTCCCTGAGGGTGGGGAGAGACAGGAGCCAGAGCCTGAGCTACAGGAGGCTTTATTGATTGGATGACTTGAGGATAAATTCATGCATAGGGAAGTGGTAGGGGTGTTTTCATCATGGCTGCTTGTGTAGCTGGTCCTATGGCTGCTTGGAGCCACGTCTGGGGTCCACTAGGCATCGTCCTGACTGCCCAACACTTGCACCTGGAAGGCAGACACGTGTGGGCCAAGGGGCCTGGCGGTTCCATGCCCACTGATCAGTAACTGGAGAGCCACAGCTCCATCAGGCAAACAGGCCCAGGCCAGCCTCTGCACATTGCAGCCAGTCACCTCCCAGCAGCTGGGGAAGCAGGGTGTGTTCATGTGTTTGCAAGTGTGTGTATGTGTGTGTGCGTGTGTGTGCAGAGGTGAGCATGTGCATATGCATGATGTGCATGTAGGGGGGGCTGAAGGCTGCTGTGGGCAGTGAGGTCTGGGGTGTCCACCTCTGCTGGCAGAGGTGGGTGAAGGTGTCTGTGGGAAGGTGGGGCATGGGGTTGTTATACTGGGTGGGCAATGAGGTGCTATGGCATTTAGTCAAGGGCCTAAGGAATAGGGCTGTGGGTCCCGCCAGGGTTGCAGGCTTTAGGGAATGGGTGCCCCCCGACCACAATACCAGCAGCTTGACCAGCTCCGCCTTGTGCATGGGCTGCAGGCCGTCTATGCAGGACTTGAGCTCGGCTATTGCTGCCTTGGCATCTGCATTGATGTTGTACTTGCTGAGGGGCCCCTCATAGAGCTCCTCTATGGACCCCACCAGCAGCGTTTGCAGGAAGTCCATGAAAAGCTCTTCGCTGTCCTCCCCTGTGACCAGCCCTGTATTGTGGGGGTGAGATGATGCCAGGACAGGACTCTTTCCAACCCCAGCCCCAGACCTCCCACCTCCAGCCTCAGTGGTTCTCCAGACTCTTCCCATCAATGCCCACCCCACCTGCCCCTTATTTTCCTCCGCAACATCCCCCAACTCCACCTGCCCTCAGACCCCTCCTGTCACCCTAACCTCAGCTGCTTCTTTTCACCCTGTGCTCCCTGGCATCACTGAGGAAGGAAAGTCAAGCCTCTGATGTAGTGGGAATTTCCCCTTCCTGTGAGGCTGGCTTACCTGGAGCTTGGACTGGTGTCAGGGTCAGCCTGAGTTGGGCTGAGTTTGTGACATTGGGCTTGGTGGTGACACAGGGGCTGAGACGGAGGTTGAGGCTGGGCTGGGGTTGGGGCCATTTGGGCTTAGTCTATGATTGGGGTAGGGCTGCCTGGGGACTGAGGTCAGCAAGGGCACCAGGGTCATTGCCCACGTTCATGTTCTGTGATGGAAGTGGGTCGGGGTGCCTGGGAAGGTGGGCATCAGTCACTGCAGGGTCAGTGCCTGGATTTGTAGTTTCCGAGGTTCCCGCCTGTTCCTCTGGCCCCAGCCTCCCGAATGTGCTGGAAGCCCCTGTCAGCGCAGACTCACCGCAGGTGCAGAGCACAGTGAGAGCCGCTAGCAGGAGGGCGCCGCTCCTCTTCATGGTGGATAGCGGTGGTGACTCCTGAGCTGCCTCGCCGGGCTTTATGCCTCGCAGGCCAGTCTGGGGGCGGGTCCAACCTGCTCATCAAGGCCCGGCCAGTGAGAGCACAAGAAGGGCAGCTGGGGGTGTGTCCTCACCCCTTGCCCTGAGTGGGTGCCAAGCAGCAAGGGGCCCAGGGTGCTCTGTGAGGGTTGGTTGGCAAACTGTTTGGGGTGTGTGGACATACATAAGGGGGCAAGGTGAGCCTGGTCAGTGAGGAAGGAAGCGATGCTGACGGCCTCTAGCCTTGCTTTGCTTGTGGTTGAGAGTGGCAGGCTCTTGGGCTGGGCCCGGGCCCAGGCCTTTCTTTTGGGGTGGAAAACCCCCTCCACTCAACGTGCTTCGTGGCCCAGTACTGATCTCTGAACCCTGAGATAGCCTGAAGATCTCCACTGGGGCGGGGGTGGGTGAAGAGGGGTGGGGCACTTCCTGAGGGCTTCCTGGGTCCTGCAGATTGAGTGCTGGGAGATGGGCCCAGGGCCACAGGAAGCCTGAAGTGGGCAGCAGCCTCCAGGGAACAGAGGGTGGGCCTGAGAGTGACCGAGTGGCGAGGAGCTGGGCTGTCTCTGAGGCCTGGTGGGATGACCGTGTCACTGCAGGAAGCAAGGAGGGACTGCACTGACTTAGCTTCCTTTGGTGGTCCTCCAGCCTGGGGAAGTCTAGGGTCTGGGGGAGACAGTCCAATGCTGTGATGGAGACGCGGGGCTGGGCCGCCTGGGCTCCTGACCTGATCTCCCACAAGCAGTGCTGCCGTCCTGGCCCTCCTGCCCTGGGCCCAGCCCTTCTTCTCCTGTCCCATGCTGCCACCTGGCGGCCCATGGCATCCGGCAGGACAGGCCCACTCTCCTGCAGGGTCCCTGCAAGGATCCAGGGCTTCTGCCCTGCCTGACGCCGGAGGGACTCGCACCTTCAGCAAACCTCCAGAGCAACTCCGTCCAGGTCAGTTACCCTGCCCTGTTTGACACCCTGCCTCTCACGTGCCTCTAGCTGCTCCTGAGTCTGTCACAGACCCCAGACGCTTGTCTTATGTCCTCTGAGCACTTAGAGTTTCTCATCCATTTGGGTGTCTGTTTATCACAAGCAGTCTGTAATCCCCTTAGCAAGGGGATGAAATGAAACCCATAGATGATATAACCTACTTGTATACATAGTTCCAAGAATTTAGGAGAAATAACCTGCAGTGAAGTCATCTGTAACAGAACAACGTGGCTGTTTGGGCAAGACTGCAGTCAGCAAATGTGAGCCCCTCCATGTCCCTAAAGGCCTGAGGGGTTCTAGTCAGTGAGTCAGCCCTTGCTCTGTTTGCGCTCCACTGGATCCATCACCTTCTTTAACTTTGTGGCCCTTGGGCTGCTTGCTAGGTCACCTGGAGGGACGTTTAAAAGTGCTGTCCCTAGGCTTCAACATGGTGCAGACCCATGGAAGCAGGGTCCCTGGTGTGGGGCTGGGATTCCTGTCCTTCTGAATCCCTCCGGCCCTAGCAGAGACCACCTTGTCCAGCATCATTCTCCTTCCTCCACTTCCTCCCAGTCTCCAGAGTGCTGTGTGTTGGTTTGATATGATTTCAAATGCACTTTTTATGATAGAAGTGAAGTTGTTTTAATCTACTTCTTTATGACAAAGGCCAAAAGAGGTTGTTGTGCAAGTAAAGTTGTTTTGATTTAAGAATGAAGCGAGCTGTGTCAGGATTGTTCCCTAGCAGCTCCTGGCTGGCTCCTGATTCTCTGGAGAACCTCTTAGAGAAGCTACACCTTAAGTGATAAATAACTTCAACTGAATTTGGACTTTATTCCTGTCATCTCCCCTTCTGTAGCACAACAGTGTAATTAATTTATCATTTGTTTGGATTATGTTATTTCTTTATTGGTTTATTATAAGGAAACATTATCCTTCATGTTACTGGCTTATGCAATTATTATAATTCTGTGTTAAATAAACTATGGGCAAAGACAGTCTCAGCCTGTCTCTCCAGGTTGTATGCTTTCACTGAGTGATATGCGCGTGAGATTTAACCATGCTTTTCAAGGTTTGCTGGTTCATTTCTTACTACTGATGAGTAATACTCCATTGCATGTGTATGGAAGGAAGAAAAATTTTCACTCTGCCCTTCCATAATAAAAGACAAATTATCAGGAGAAAAAAACAGAAGCATACCTCCTCTGTGCTTCCCTGGTGGCTTTGTGGTAAAGAATCTGCCTATAATTCAGGAGACTTGGGTTTGACCCCTGGGTTGGGAAGATCCCCTGGAGAAGGAAATGGCAACCCACTCCAGTATCCTTGCCTGGGGAATCCCATGGACAGAGGAGCCTGGTGGGCTACAGTCCATGGGGTTGCAAAGAGGCAAACACGACTCAGTGACTAAAACAACAAATAGCTTCTGTATACAGGGGAGCTGCCAAAGAAACCCGAGTCACTCCCTGAAACGCCCAAAGTCATCGCCTTAAATACCACCTTCAGCTAAACACAGAAGACCCTGAAGAATGGGAGAAGCCGGTTATGGAAGGTAATGACACAAAACACAGTAAAAAAGGGTATGATTGTTTATAGATTTAAGTTGGGACCTCTGCATTGATGTTACTTGAATTTTAATTATCCTGTATTTCTGGTGCAAACAGGGACAACCCACAAATGCAGCGATTTCTCTGTTGTAAATATCAATCAAAAAATGGCAGTTGTTGCATAGTTTCTGGAGAGCCCTCTTTTTTTTTTTTCATGGAAGTGGACTTAAGCAATCCTCACAGCAGAGAGGCATATTTTGGGGTGGCATGTTCTACTTGCTTTGAGATGGATATACCCCAATTTGATTATTCATTCATCTATTGAAGGATACCCCGATTACTTCAAGCTTTTAACTATTATGGATAGCGCTGCTGTGCCTAAGTTCATCTTTGTTTGCATTTGGGCATGGGTTTTTCAAAGCAGTTTCCTAAATACTGGAAGTACGATTGTTGGATCCCAAGGTGAGGTTTGTTTAGCTTTGGAGAAAACTGCCCAACTGTGTTACAAGGTGGCTGTGCATGCATGCCACCAGCAGTGAGGGAACGTTCCTGCTGTTCCTCAGCCTCCAGCAATTGGTATTGTCATATATCTAGAGTTTAGCAGCCCTAATATGTGTAGTGTGATAGCCTGTGACTTTAATTTGTAATTCCCCAATGGAGACCCAACCAGTCCATCCTAAAGGAGATCGGTCCTGGGTGTTCATTGGAAGGACAGATGCTGAAGCTGAAACTCCAATACTTTGGCCACCTCATGCAAAGAATTGACTCATTAGAAAAGACCCTGATGCTGGGAGGGATTGGGGGCAGGAAGAGAAGGGGACAACAGAGGATGAGATGGCTGGATGGCATCACCGACTTGATGGACATGAGTTTGAGTAAACTCTGGGAGTTGGTGATGGACAGGGAGGCCTGGTGTGCTGTGATTCATGGGGTCGCACAGAGTCAGACACAACTGAGCAACTGAACTGAGCTGAACGGAACTAAATGGTGTATGATGTTGAGCGTGTTTCTGTTTTGTACTATCTGTATAACTTTTTTTGGCTGGGTGTCTGTTCAGATCTTTACTTATTGTTTATAGGGTTGTTCAAGAGGTCTTTGTCTATTTTGTGTCCAAATCCTGTATCAGATATGAATTTTGCAAATATTTTTCTCCCAGTTTGTGGCTTGTATTTTGATTTTCTGAATGAGGTCTTTCAGAATAGACATCTTTATTTCTGTAAAGTCCACAATATTTTTCTTTTGTGGACTGACATCTTGTGTGTTAAAATTCAAATCTCATGATATACAGGCCAAACCCAGGGTCATGTAGATTTTCTATGTTTATGTCCACAATTTTGATAGTTTCAAAATTTAAATGTCTGTTATTAAATTTGAGTGAATTTGGTGACTACATTTCATTCTATACAGTTTCAAGTTAATTATTCCTTAACTATTTTGGAGAAGTTTTGGATATTGGCAATATTTCAGTTTGAATTTCCATAGTTTAATGGACCTAGCAGAACTGTCCTGAGGGGCGGAGTCTCCACTTGGCTGTGCCTGCGTGAGTGAGGGAGGCTTGACCTGCAGCTCTCATTGACTGGCAGGGAGCGAGGAGCCCGCCTCCCTGACCCACCCCTGACCCCAAGCGGAAATCCCGCTCTGACTGAGCACCTGGCTGCATGTGGCTGCTGACAGGAGTCTGGTCTCCTCAGGACCCACTGGGGTTTCAGCTTTGGGACATTGTGGGATTCAGTTCAGGAAGACAGGGCGTCTGGTCTCCTCAGGACCTGCTCAGGTTTTGGCTTTGGGACATTGTGGGGTTCACTTCAGGCTGTGCCGGGGTCCAGCCTCGGCAGGATCCAGGGGGTACCCTCGGGATGAATGGCGTCGGTGAGAGAAGACACGTGAGACCAGCCTTGATAGGGCCAAGTCTGCAAGGGAGAGAGAGAGAAAGTGAGAGAGAGGAGAGAGCGAGAGAGCGAGCCCAGACGGGGGGTGCAGCAGAGTCTGGCCATGCTTTATTTTTCACCGTGGCTTTTATACCCTAAGTTAGTACATTTCTAAGGGGAAGATAGTTTAACATTACATCAGCTTGTTCTTCACGAAACCAGGGTGTTTTCTGCATACTTCTTTGTTTATGAGGGTCTTGTACATTATATTCTGGCCTTGGGGCCTATTAACATTTTATGCAAGTCAAGTGAATGTAAACCTATTTTCTGTTTTCTGGTGACCTTAACTGAAAGGTAGCAGTCTCACAGGGCAACAGTGCAGAGTAGAAGTATAACCTTGTTAACACAAAAATTAATCCTTCTGCAGAAGTTGTCAGTTGAATTTATCTAAGAAGTTTACCCCACACTGACTCTGTGACTTTGGTGAGGCAGCCCCTGCCTAGCACTCCTGGCTGACAATTAACAACCATCTCATTGGTACCACACTAGGACTAAGCTTTTATTTTTCTAGATCTATAACTATATTAACAATGGT